GGGGAGGGGGAGGGGGAGGAGGAGGAGAAGGAGGAGGAGGAGGAGGAAGAAGAAGAGGAGGAAGAAGAAGAGGAAGAGGAAGAAGCAGGGGAAAAGGAAAAGGAAAAGAGGAAGGAGAAGGAGGAGGAGGAGGAGGAGGAGGAGGAGGAGGAGGAAGAAGAAGAAGAAGAAGAAGAAGAAGAAGAAGAAGAAGAAGAAGAAGAAGAAGAAGAAGAAGAAGAAGAAGAAGAAGAAGAAGAAGAAAAAGAGGAGGAGGAGGTGGCTGACATCAGGCCCAAAAGGACAAATGACCACATTCCCATTTTGTCACCGCACCCTCCAGGGTCTCTTGCCCTTTCTCAAAATGTCCAGCGTGGTTTCCCAGCAAACAAGCAAGCAAGCAAACAAAGTCTTTCTTCTCCTTAATTACTTCAGAATGTGGTCAGACCTCCTGTGCTTTTCGTAACCTCCCAGCCCGGCCAAAGAACTGACGTGTTTCTCTTTTGTGTTGTCTTTCGGGAGAAGAGAATACATCGAATCCCACTTCTGGCTAGATTACGTTTTTCTGGCCGGGTGCATTTATTTACGATTGAGGTAGAACTTCCGTCCAACACTTTTGCTTATCCCTCTGCAGATCATTAAATCTTTCCTACACGAAAACCGCCGGATCGGTAGATAGAGGCGGGGCGGGTAAAAGATGTTTTTGTGTCGTAAATGCAAAATCCAGGGTTTTTTTGTTTTGTTTTTCGCCTTCCTGGGAGGAAGGCTGCCACTCCTGGGCTTTGGGACCTCACCTCTGAAGTCTGAAGGAGCTTTACAAACTGTTGGGGTTCTACAGAACCAGGCACCACTCGGCTCCCTCCTGCTCTCAAGAGGCTTCCTTCTGATCCCAAACCCACTCAGCAATGCCTTTTCAATTAATCAGGCAGCCCACACAGCCGGGCTATAATTAAGTCCCATGGTGCACTGATTAGATACCCCATGGAGGGGAAACTCTGGGCAGCTCTGTTTTATTTATTCAATGCAAAAAAAAAATGTCGAATGTTGAAAGCTCCTGAATGCTCCAGCAGCCAATGTTTCTCTCGCTGACTTTGGAAAGCGAATCAGAGAGACCCCTTTGTAATCTCCGATGGTGGGAATTGTCAATGACTACTTCAGCTTCAACCATAACAACACAAGAGCAAACAATAGATACAAACTCAAGGTTAACCGCACCAAACTTGATTGCAGGAAATACGACTTCACCAGCAGAGTGGTCAATGTCTGGAATACTCTACCTGACTCTGTGGTTTCTTCCCCAAATCCCAAAAACTGTAACCTTAGACTGTCTACTATGGACCTCAACCCTTTCCTAAGAGGTCTGTAAGGGGGCGTGCATAAGTGCACCAACGAGCCTACTGTCCCTGTCCTATTGTTTCTTTTATTTTTCTTATATGACCATGTTTATATTTATACCTATTATCTTGTAAGCGATTGACAAATCAAATAAATAAATAAAATAAAATAAATTGTGCCATGGGGTCCTGCCTGCCCACAACTCATCCCGGCTGTCAATACAGGGGTGGGGTGGCTTTTGTTCAAATACACCTTGGACAAGAGTCTAAATCATTGGTTCCTTCCCCCCCCTTTTTTTACTCATCGAATTTAGAATGTGTTTGTAAACAACCAGAGACCACACTGGGGTATTAGGAAAGGTATTGTGGGTTAAGAGACCATGGATACTGAATTTACAACTCATCTCACTGTTTATATTCAAGGAGAAACTGACATGTCTGATGATCAGGTTTGGTCCACAGGAAAACCAGAAGCATTGAAACCCCAGACAGAACCCTCCTTTGCAAACGTTAGGTCCTTCACACAAAGCCAGTTTGGCCTAGTGGTTAAAGGGCTGGCTTGGGAACCAGAAAACGGTGAGTTCTAGTCCTGCCTTAGGCATGAAAGCTGGTTTGGTGGCTTTGGGTCAATCACCAGGAGACAGTGAGTTCTAGTTCAACCTTAGCCAGGAATCCTGGCTGGGTGACCTTGGGCCACCATCACCAGGAGACGGTGAATTCTAGCCCCATTTTAGGCATGAAGGCCAGATAATCACCACTGTGAATTCTAGTCCCACCTTAGCCAGGAAACCTGGCTTAGACCAATCACCAAGAGATAGTGAGTTCTAGTCCTGCTCTAAAGCATGAAAACTGACTGGACGACTGGATTGGTCCTTCTCTTCTCAGCCCAAACCACTTCACAGGGTTGTTGTTGTTGTTGTTGTAGGGAAAATAGGAAGAGGGATGAGTATTATTGGCTGCCTTATTTATAAAAATAATAACATTTAATAATAAGGAAAAAGAAATAAACTCCAGAATCTTTGCAGACATTTTGGGATGTGGGAAGTGTACTCACACAATGACATATGGGTGGGGGACATTTCCCTTGCGGGTGGAGGGCAGGTTGGAGGCACTGTGGAGCACAAAGGTGATGGATTCCTTTTCGGGATTCGCCAGGTGCCAGTCATTTGTGTGGGACGTCAAGGTGGCTTGTCCTGGTCCAGCTGGATCCTCTTTCACCTGCCAGGTAGAAGCCAGAGCAAGATTTGAAATTTGTGGGTGGAGGTCAGATCTTCTAGCAGAAAGAGAAAGGAATGACAAGTTCGTTGAAGTCCTCCCCGTAGGTTTCCCCCCCCACGGGCTCAATAATCATCTCCGTAGCTCCATTTCTGGAAGTAGGGAGATGCCACAGGCCCCGTCAGGAGCTCCTCAAACAGAGAACGACGGGAGACGGCAGCATCTGTCTGAGTTGGGTTACAAGGGGGACCAGGATTTCCACTGTTAAGCAAGACAGTTGTTTGTCACATTCCTGAATTGACATTGTTAAATGAGTCCAGTTCCAACCCCCCCGCCCCCCATTGACTTCACTTGTCAGAAGCCAGCTGGGAAGGTTACAAAGAGTGATCACAGGATGGATGGGTGGAAGGAAGGAAGGAAGGAGAGACAAGGGACAGAAGAAACATGGATGGATGGATGGATGGATGGATGGATGGATGGATGGGTGAGGGGGTGGAAGGAAGGAAGGAAGGGAGGGAGGGAGGGAGGGAGGGAGGAAGGAAGGAAGGAAGGAAGGAAGGAAGGAAGGAAGGAAGGAAGGAAGGAAGGAAGGAAGGAAGGAAGGAAGGAAGGA